GAAAAACATGGAGGTCAGAACGAAGTCCTGCAGAACTTCATGGCACTTGTGCAGAGGAACAGTCCCCCAGCTCCACCATATGGAGATGGTCCACCAGATAGGAGTGGAACCACCACAAAGCAATGCCAGCAACTGTCAACCTGCCTAACGTCTCCAGAAGGATACCATGGCCAATGCTATTGAAAGCTGCTGAGAGATCCAGGAGAATCAACAGGGTCTTTCTCCTGGCAAAGGTCATCCTACAGGATGACCAAGGCAGTTTCTATTCCAAAACCAGACCTGAAGCCTGCTTGAAATGGATCCAGACAATACTTTTCCTCCAAGAGTGCTTGAATCTGCCCAGCTGTGACCCACTCAAACACCTTGCTAAGGAAGAGAATATTAGCTATAGGTTGATAGTTGTTTATATCATCTAGATCTAGGTGTGGCTTCTTAAGTGGTGTAACCACCACCATCTTGAAAGAGGAAGCCACCGCTCCCTCTCTTCAGGAGGTATTCACCATTTCCTGGATCCAGGGATGGATCTCTTCCTTTGATCTCTCAGTTAGCCAAGATGGGCAAGGTTCGACTAATCAGGTCATGGGACAGGCTTGACGAAGCACCTTGTCCACACTGTTGGGCCACAGTAGCTAAAACGCATCTAGTTATATGGGACTGGATGGTGCACTGGACAGTTCTGCTGATGGGATTGGATCCCCGTGCTATCCAGCTCAGAACAAATCTGAGCAACTTCATTCTCATGAAAACTGGTCACAGTGGGTCCCTGAGTGTCGGATAGTATCTAGTCTAGGGCCAGAGTGTAAAGAGCCATGAACCACACAGAAGAGCTCCGCTGGATGGCACTTGGACAGTGCAGTGGAGATGGGAGCGAGCGTGCCAACCACCCAGCCCATTCCCGACACGGTGACCTGGGCTTCAATGGGAGTGGCAACCGTGCCTGGTGGAAAATCCCTCAGAAACCCTGGGAAACCTTCTGGATCCTTTAGGCTCCAGGGGCAGACCAACTTAATGGGTCCATCATCCTTGCAGAGGGGAAAAGGGGCCAAAAGTCCATACCTTAAGATCTGACCATGACAAAGGGATTGATGTTAATCTCCCAACTATCAGATCATTATCTTCCTGCCCAGTCGAGAAAACCAGTTCCAGAGTGTGACCTTTTATATGTGTTGGGCCAGTGACAAGTTGAGACAGCCCCTTGATGGCCATGACCACCATGAAGTCCTGAGCCACCCTGGACAAGACAGCCTCAGCATGGAGATTGAGTTCCCTCAGAGCCATCATCCTGGGCGTCCTCAACACCAAGTCCAAGACCACCTCCATCAGCTCAGGCCGGGAGTCTGCTGGACAGCAAGCTGGATAGTACACCAGCAGAATCCCTAATCTGTCTCGATCACCCAGTGAAAGGTAGAAACACACAAAACCTGCACTCCAGTGGACAGGGAGCCCAGTGAGGGGGGTAGAATCCCTGTGGACCACGGCCACCCCTCTCCCCAGCCCACCAGGCAGTGTTGGTGCTCTACTGTGTACCTGGGGGAGCATAACTGGGAAAGGGCAACCCCCTTCTTTCCCCACCCAGGTCTCAGTAATGCAAGCCAGATCAGCCCCCTCATCTACAAATAAAGCATGGATTATAGAAACATGGCAAATCAGAAGGGGTCTCCTGGCCCATTAATTTGACACCTGGCTCCACCGTTTATGGTGTGACATCCCTTCACATACCTATATATTGCTACAAGGTCCCCTCTGAGTCCCCCAGAGGGAGATGGGGGGTGTCTCCTGGCAGCTGCCTCTCTGGCAGTGGGCGTCTGGCCACGTCTGGCCACAGCCTGGGCTTCCCAAGCAGGCTGGTCCCCCAGGGGGCCAGTGGTCGCAGCTGGCTCAAGCAGAGAAGATCCATTTCTCAGCCTCAGATCAGCACTGGCGACGGAGGGGGTGGCATCAGCGCCCACCTCCTGCGGTGGCAGCTCTCCATGTCTCCCCGCCTGGTTCCCCAGTGGCCCCTCCCTCCCCTGGCTGCTTGGAATGGGGCAGTTCCCGTTCGCTGGAGGATCTCCTGGGCAAGTCCAGGAACTGCTCCTCCTGCCGTGTTCTCCCACAGGGGGGTGATGGCATCCTTCAGACCCCTCACCTTCTGGAGGAGTGACAGCAGCTTGCACTCAGCACAAGAGTATCCTGGCTCCCCCTTGGGTGAGGAAGACAAACATGGCACAGGTGCCACAGGTGTGTGCAACACCTGCCTCTCTTGCCACAGCCCTCTCCTGGTCTGGCATACGCCCCCCCCCCCCCCCCCCCCCCCCCCCCCCCCCCCCCCCCCGCCCCCCCCCCCCCCCCCCCCCCCCCCACCCGCCAGCCCCCCCCCTCCCTGGGCGGGCCCCCCCCCCCCCCCCCCCCGTGAATCAGCCCCCACAATCCTGATACCTATCCCCTGCCCTCCTCATGTCTTCCCTGCATTACCCTCGCGTGAAGCTGGAGGCCCTCCTCCCTCAGGAAAGAGAGTCCCCAGGCAACCTGGGTCATAGCGAGGGGATGCCAGCGGGCACCTCCTGCGTCCCACTGCCCTTGGTATGTCGCCCACACTGGCATTCAGCCGCAGCAGCAGCCGCAGCAGCAGGCCTGAGGGCAGAATGGTGCACTTGCTGGAAATCGCTGGGCGGGGGGAGAGACCAGAGGAGGAACACCCACCCGCTCCTCTCCTTCACTGGCCTGTCAGTGCCCCAGCACCGTATCTCCCCCTACCAGTAACCACAGTAAAAGGACACCCATATCTTCTCCTACATAGGCCCCATGAAATGCAGAAATAGCCCTGCAGCTAAAACAAAATAACAGCTGTTTGCAAAACCAAACCAAACCACCGCTCGTTTACTGTTCTAATGAATCCTCTCCCTTTCCTTGCCAATTACCCATGTCTTAATAACCCTCCTCTCCATTCTCCTCACATTCTCCTATCTCCTTGCCTTGCCTTTAAACGACTGGTTTCTACTCATTCAGTTCTAATTCCTGCATGTTTTCCTGCCTGCCTCCTCCTCCCATCACCTACTCAACCTAATTCAACCCCTTCAACTTACGTTACCTAGAAAAAGAAGAGAAGGGGGGAGGGGAGAGTCTCCTTTTCATGCTCTCAGTTTTTTCAACAATCTATTTCAACTTGGCCAAAAAATATTCTTACTGGTGCATTTTAACCATGTTTTCAGTCCCAGCAATGCAGCCTACCCAGCCCAGATCCGGTAGGAGAACAAGAAACCCAACTCACTGGCAGCATTAAGCCCTGCTGAACTTTACGTACGTGCGCAACACTCAGGGCCAAATCACATCATCCTAAAGTTTAAGTTTCTCAAAAATTTCCTCCCATGTTGGGGCAACTGGCCTCCATCAGCTCAGTAAACCTAGTAAAAAATGTTCCAGATTTTAGCCACCTGCATTCTACAGTTTTCTTTCTCTAAACCAAAATATGCCTGGGGCAACAAAACATCCCCAGACAGGCATGAGAATAGCTTTGTGGGGTACTTTTATTGCTCCCGTGAAAGCCCCAAGTGAAAGAGCAAAGGCAAGTTACGTGCAGGCCATCTTGGTGCCCTTGGGAAGCTCAGCACCGAAGCCTCCAGCAGGCAGAACCAAACCCACCGAGGGAAGCCTTGTCAAGCTGCTTTGAAGGCCAGAGGCAGGTGGAAGCTTAACAGACCAAGTACGGCACAGGATCCCAGCTGGGTCTGTGGCCGTATGCTCAGGGAGGAGCGAGGAGACCCACCTGCTGCAGCCATTCTTTTCCTGGCATCTTACCATGGTAACCATGGTCTGCATTCTTTTGCCAGGATCTCCTTTGCACACATGCAAAGACTTGGAGGATGAGAGGGAAGTCTGCTTTTTTCTGACGGATTTCCTGATCAGGATATTCTGAAACTTATTCTGAAATTGGCTAGGTATTTAATTCCTGTTGTAACATACCACTTCTAAAAAAACCAAAAGAGATCAAAACCAAGAACCGGAGACTGCCTTGCTGGCTTGTGATAGCCTGCACCCCATCCCCCAAAAGTCACAGATGGGCAATCACTTTACTGGAACCAAATTTCACAAAAATGTGCTCACTTTTGAGTTTTCCAGACTATATGATAGAAAAAACAAGGAAGAAACAGAAACATCCCCAAAAGTGGCCACATGTGGCAGTCTGTTTACCTAAGAGATTTGGTCATTAACACTCCCTTGTTCAGCCCCCGCAGCTTATGAAAATGCGCGTGAGCTGCCTCTTGCTGCCTCTTAGCTGCCTCCCTGGGAATTCAGTGCAGCCAGGAAAGACAGTGAAGCAGCCAGTCTAGCTGTGCAAAGCTCCCCTCTCAGGCTGGCAGCAGAAGGGGACACGAGGCCTGGCGCTCCAAATTCCGCTGAGAGGAAAAGAGGCAGGACAGGTAGACACGGTTCTCCTCTCCTCACCCGTTCCTGAAAGAGCGAGTGTGTGCAGAGCTCGGCTTTGGCTGGATTGTGTCCAGTGTTCAGTGGGAGAGGCTGCCTGGGGGCACGTGGGGAGCCAGGCAGCAACTGCACAGCTTGGGAAGGCTTTTCCTGTGGTCTCAGTTGGCTCAGGTGTTGACTCCATGCTTTCCCTGGTGGTTTTATTGCTTTGTGAGGCATTGTTCTGTAAGAAGGAATAAGTCTGAAATGCCCTGCCCTGACAGTTGCCGAAAAGTCATTCTGATTCAAGCTTCCTGGGCAAGACGTTCAGTCAGATGGAGGCCTTTCACACACAGCATCTGCCTGGACTTTTGTTTGGGGTAAAGTGACTTCCTTTTGCCAGGGGTGCGAGGTTTCACAATGATGGTTAAGGTTTGTCTGGGTGAGGAAAGGGACATTTGAATGTTCTGCTTGGACCAGGGCAAGACCTTGGAAGCAGCCCAGGAGACGTCCTTGGGCTGCATTTGAAGAGCTTACAAAAAGTCTGTCATGACCTTTAATGTGATGCAGTTGGATGCTTTGAATGATGCAAAACTCATAAAAAAACGGTTTCACAGTGAATCCATGTGGCCCATTGAGGCGAGAAATGCTGCCATCGCCAACCACTGCTTCACCTGTGCCATCAACCGCGTGGGAACGGTAAGGCTGTGGGTGCTTTATGGTCTGAACTGCGGCACCATTACTTAGCATCGCATTTGCAGAATTACATGATGGCATAAATGTACTGATGTGCAGTTACCTGGCGGGGAGAGGACTCCTTCACTTGTCGGTGCCTGGAATTCGTCCTGCTCCTTAGCGGTGTTTAGCACACCTTTGTCTCAACCAGCCATGCATTCCTCCTCCTCTGTTAGCAGCATGGGCAGAGCATGTGCTGGCTGTGCTTTTGCACGGCCCAATAGCACAGTGTGCAAGAACGGAGGTCTTAGACAGCAGGATGTGGGGAGAAACTCGTGTGCCTGTCGCCCGCCCGCCTTGCTTGCATGTGCATTTTGTTCATAGAAACTGAGAGAAGCAGGAAGCGTTTATCCCGACAATTGCTAGGCCAGGTGGTAGAACAGGAGGAGCTGGCGCTGGCCCAGGGGCTGCCCGGGGCTCCATTTTCTGCTTGGCAATATGGAAACGTTTCCCAGCTTCGACGGGCCTTGGCCTGTCTCACAGAGAGTGAGCTCCTGAGTGCCGAGAACAGGCACCTTCCTTAGAGGGTCTCTTGCCGGCTTTCGGCTATTGCGGGCTGGTGGCAGCTGGCCCAGGAATGAGTCTTCTGCAGAAGGTGGCCCAGGAAGCTTCCTAACAAGGCTTTTAACGTGCCCTCCTCTCCTTCATGTCACGTGAGGTGGGGGGCAGATGACACCAGAATGCTCCTGTGTCGTTTTGCTTCTTCTTTGGCAATTTTTGCTCGGTGATGAAAGATCTGTTACAGAGGGAAATGTAAGGAGGAAAAAAGCAGGGTATTAACATTGAAAAGTGTACAGCTGAGGCACAGTGGGAGACAGTGTCCCTGGGATTCCCCCTCTCCAGCTGTGGCTCGCCTTGCACTTCCCATTTCAAGGCTGTTTCGCCTCCTGCATTACAAATCTTTTCTCCTGCTTAAGGCCAGGTCAGCTGCAGTTATCGCTTCCTAGAGTGAGGTTTCATTACCCACACCCTTCAAGGAGCAGATGTCACAGAAAATAGCAGCGCTTACTTCCAACTATAGTTGTGTTAATTCTGGCTGTGACCTTGTAAGGTTGCAGTCCCTTCCCTTGTAGGTGTTCTTCTTGGGTAAATGTTTGAAAGTGTCCTATGGTAGAACGGTAGCCTAGCATAACCCTAAGAAACGTGCAAGGAAAATAAATCCAGCAAGTTTTCTAGCCATAACTCAGGTTATGAACCTGAGTAGAATAGGCTGTTGGCTTAGAGTAGAAACCATATTTCTGAGTTAAACCTAAACAGATCTATAGCACTATTTACATGTGGATTAGCCATCTCTCTGGGTGAGTATATAACTGTCCATAGTACCATTATTAGAAGTAATTATGCTAATTGGTAGCTAATTCAAAAGAACAAGTATGTCCTTTAAGAAATTTCTATCATAAGATTTATCTGAATTATTACATCCTTCCCAAAAGAAGCTTCACTTGGGGATTGCTGAAACCCAAGGAGAGGGGAGCTTTAGCAGCACTGTCCAATCTAACTAAATCCTAATCATATACTAACTAAATCCTAATCAATGTGTCCAATATACATAAAACATTTTTTTCTGAATTAAGGTAACCTAAGAGTTTTAGCACCTTGCGAAATGGATAATAATGAAACACTCCATCAAAATTGGGTGCTCCCATTCATTACTGCATTCTTACATGACACTCTGTGCATCATATTTATTCACCAATAATAAATATTTTTACGCATGAATTGCAGGCTGATGTAACTGTTTTCCTCAGCCAAGATTTCTTGCAGAGGGAGCTCCAAAGCTGTCAGAGTTAGTAGGACCAAGCTTAGATTCTAACAAATGTTTCAATTGCATATATTGTCATGCAGCCATAGTAAACAATTTATATATAGCACACAAAGCAGAAAAGGGCGAAAAATTACTGTCAGGACTGACAAGGTGATCCAAAGTAAAACTAGCCTGTCTGTCCAAGTTGCTAAATGTTTTTTTTGCCAGTTTTTAAATCTTGTTTTCCTCATTAATTTTGCATATGAAAATATGTTAAAACTGCAACTGATGTGAAAATATATCCCACAACTCTCTAACTGCCACAACTGTAGGAGGCACATGGACTGCCTTGGTGTAAGAAGAGCCAAGTGCTCTGGGAAGAGGATCCAGAAATGAAGATTTCAGAACTGACCAGGAAGAGGAATCTAACCTAAGTGGAAAAGGCCGAGTCCATGAATGGGCCCAGTGGTACAGAAAACAGCTGGGGAGGCCATATCCACCCTCTTTGATTGAACATTTGATCCTTTTCAGGGATATTTCTGGTGAAGCGGAAGCCCATTAACAACTATGAAATATAACACTAAGTTTTGGGAAATACTTGCCAGATATAAAGGAAATAATCAAAATAATTCATCCTCTGTATCAAAACTGGAACAGATGACTGGAGTTCCAAAATAGAAATGTAATCCATGAATATTAGGGTTTTCTCAAATAAGACACAAGTCAAGTATCCCTGTTTGGTACTTCTGCCCAGGCAAGACTCCATTGGCCCTAAATCTGGCTTTATACATTTCATTAACATTTTAACCTATTTCTGAAATTCTAGAAGAAAGCTGAAATTTCTCAGTGTGATCAAGATAAACTTCCAGTAAACTTCACTGAAGGCCTTCTCTGCCTCCAGAGAGATCATGGTGGCGGTGGCTGTTCTGTCCCTTATTTAATGCAGTCAGATCAATTCGAAAGGAGTCCCATGTGGTCCAGCGGGACCAGCATCATAACAACTTGGTGTCGTTTGTGAACCTCCTGGATCAGGCACTCCCAGGGCAGGGGCGTTTGCAGCTCGGTCCTGCGGGAGTTCCTTTTGAAAACCGTAACTCTCCTGGTGTGCTGCTTTGAGAGCCGTAGGCACCCCCGGCTGCGCAAATGTTGCCCAGAAACTCTGGCTTCGCACCATGTGGGGGCAGTGTGCGACCGCGAGGGGCAGCCCTGGGACTGAAGGAGTGGACCCCGCCCCGCCTCCGCGTGTTTCCGCCAGCAGCACTTGCCCAAGTTGCAGGCTCACGCAGGAAGACAATTGATCCAGCAAACGGATACAGGCTGGGAGGATGCCAGAGGTTGTTTATCAGATTTGTAACGATTGTTAGGATTGTTAGTCAACCGCCTCTGTGCTTGACCTTGTGTGGGAAGGATCTGGGTGGCAGCAGCGAGCAAGGCGGTACTGCCACCTTCTGTTCATTCTGCACGATTTCATTTCTTGCAGGAAGTGTATGCGCACCCCTTTACATCAGGAGATGGTGGCGATGGTACGTCTTCCAGGTTTTCTGGGGAGTGATGCTTTGCTTGGCATCTGGGGCAGTTCTTCCTTGCTATTCGCCTTCCTCCCTAACTTTTAAGGCAACCCGGGCAGGACTGAAACTCAGGATGGTGAGACCTTCATACCTGCCTTTTATTTTTTAGTGCCATGAAAGCTGAAAGAAGTTGACTCCAAACCTTTGAAATATCTAAAACATGGTTCATGGTATTAACTAAAATGATAAAAAGCTAACTGATGCAACAAACAACAAAAAATATTGCCATTTTGCCATAAAAGACTCTCAGGGCAGTTTACAAATCACATTAATGCAAAATCCAAGATAGAATAAAATAAAATACAAAATGAGAGTCAAAAACATCTACATGAGACATTTCTTTTGAAGCCATTTAAGTTTTTCAGCAGTGAACCAATATGGAACAATACAACGCTCAAATATACTGTGAAAACAAGCTGAATTTAGGCGCTGTAACATCCTGCAGTTGCTGATCTTTGGTGGGAGCAGTATTTCTGTTGTTGCAAATTTCAGCTGTGGGGGGGAACACCTGTTGCCCGTCTCTGTTCTAGCAGCTGGCAATGCACCACACCACAACACCACACCAGTTTTACTGTACTGATTGTGTCCATTTCTTTCTTTCTTTCTGCTGTTTATGAAGCCCATCATGACCTTGGTCATTTTTATGGCTCAAGTTACGTGGCAGCTCCAGATGGGAGTCGAACCCCTGGACTCACCCGCACGCAAGATGGACTGTTGGTGACTGAAATGGATCTCAATCTTTGCAGACAAGTTAGTGACAAATGGAATTTTAAGGTGAGATTTATTTCTCTAAACCAAATTGATCAAGAACAGGTGTTCTGACTTCTGATTGTCAAGAACTTTGCTGGCAGTGAGACAAAACAGGTTTTATAGGCATTGCTGGTTTGTTTCCCCGCTAGTGAATATAACGATATCTCTCTATAAGCACCTCAAAGGCTGTCGCAAAGAGGAAGGTCAAGATCTCGCTGATGCCGGAGCGCAGGACACGGAATAATCCATTCAAGTTGTGACAACCCAGATTCAGGCTGGACATCAGGAAAGGCTTCCCCACTGTCAGAGCAATAGGGCAGTGGAGCCAGCTGCCTGGAGAGGTGGGGGGCTCTCCCACACTGGAGACATTCAAAAAAGAACCTGGCCAGTCCTCTGAGTGGGATGGTGTCCCGCAACATCAAGGGGCTGGACCTGGTGGCCTTCATGGCCCCTTCCAACTCTACTATTCTATGATTCTATGATACCTCTGCATGACAATTATCCTAGTTAAAATTAAGCTCTTATTATAACTTAGTGGCTGCACAGTCGTACCCCACCAGGCCTTAATTTTGCAGTAAAGGGGTTAGCTCTCTCTCTAACCCCTTTACTGCTACAAAGCTTTCTTTTCCCAAGAGCATGGAGGAATGCAACTGTGTAATCCAGAAGCCTGCATCATAGGAGGCCACCCCAGGCTGAAGGCATTGCTCCTGACTCAAAGGACTCAAGGAGAAAGAAATAACGTGCAACCTCAGGGAGCCAAGGCTTGGTAGCAGGTGTTATGCACAAGGTTTCAAGTTCAATTCCAAGAATCTTCTAAGAATGGCCCTGCTGGATCAGACCAATATACAGGGATCAGTCTAGTCCAGCATCCTACTCTCTAGTGGTTGGATGAGCACGCCCCTTTGAGACCTCCAAGCAGAGGATAAAAGCAAGACTCCCAGCAACCAGTGCGCACGTGGCCCATGAGCCTGGTAGTTGCACAGATAAACCTACTTAGCTTATAAAGCCATCTCAGCAAGTGGAGTGAGGGAGGCCAATCATTATGCTTGGCAGGTAGTCCTGGGTGAGCAGGGCTGGGGTTCTGAAGGAAAAGATTCTTTGGGACAGTGCACATCGGAGACAAAGGCCCGGGACGCTCTCTCAAGTTTGCTGCCACCCAGGAGAGTGACAGTCTTTGGAATGGATGGGAGGGGTTGAAGAGGAAGAGCCTGGTCCCTGACCCTATGATGAGGCATCATGGGAGAGGAGCTGTCCAGTTAAGAGGGCTTGCACAGGTCCTGTTGCCTTGTTCCAAGTTACTGAAAAGGAACCATTTTGGGGAGAAGTCCCCAGGTTGGGTTCAGCTATCACTCTTGAGGATGAGACTTCAGATTACTAGAAGGCTTTTAAAGTAACTTAGGGCAAATGAAGATCTGCTTTGCAGAGAGACTGTGGGCAAGAAGGGGAGAACCAGGCTCGCAACAGAAAACGGCCGTCAGCACATCTTGTGTGAAGGCCACACTTTGTCTTTCTTGAAACTCCCACTTGTCACGCGCATTGGATGTCTGGGAATCAGGGATGGGCTTTGTTCAATTGGCCAAGGTTTCTACAGCTAGGCAGCTGCTCAGGGGCTGCTCCCTCGTTGTTCAGTGTTGACAGCAAGCCTGAAAAATCTCAGCTACTTCAGACTTGTCTGTAACGGCTGGCCTGATCACAGGATGAGTAAAAATCATCTGCTAGCAGAGTAAAAGGGAAGCTTCTATTTTTTGTCAGCAGGGCAGGTTAGCTAATATTTTTTGTAAGCAACTAAATTCTGTGGCTTTATATTCAAGGGTGTGGTAGTTGGAATTTTTAAAAATAACTTTTTTGGAAAAAGGGATTCATTTGAACTACCATTTAGACATTCTTTTATAGTGACAGATGGTAAGTGGAAAAGAATAGCTGTTGTTTGTTTCTTTCCAGATGACTGGGAGATACAAGATGTATGCAGAGGAACTGGCTGCAGCCGTCCAACCGGACTTTGTACCTAATGTCATCAAAGAGTAACTTTATTTGGCTGTGCAGGAAGTGTGCAACAAAACATAGTTCCCTTTGTCTTTCTGAAGTGACCTTGTCTCTTTGTAGCTTTCCAGCCTCTCAAAGCATACCATCTGTGGCTTGTTGCAAGATCAGAATCGCACCTGTTGGTGCACCCAGAGGGATCCTTGGTCCTCCTGCCCTCGCCAGATCCAGAGCCTGCCCTTGGAAGTCTCCCCGGTTTCCCCAAGTGGTTTGTGAAGTGGCACAGCAGCAGTGGGGCAAGACTTCTATTCAGGAAATGCAAACCTAACAATGATGCTGAATAATGCAAGCATTTTTTAAAAGTGGCCACATAACAATTTCAGCTGCACAGACACGAAGGAGGAAATGTTTTAATTCATGGTGATCAACCAGATGCTCCTAAGACCACTGACTTTTCATACATGTACACACAGGATGACATGGAGCTATGCAAGTCACTTAGGAACCACACACGAGGAAGAAAAAGGATAAAAATGCAATATGAAAATGATCAAGTAGGCATATGACAAAACTGCAAGAATAGGGGGAATGAGTGAAGTCACCTTTTCCATGCATTGCCGTATGGCCATGGCTGTGAAAAGGCTTTGGCTGAGCAGCAAGCCACGGGCAGTGCAGTCCAGTGGCCACCAAAGAGCAGCCCTGGGGACAGGGCATCTCCACGGGCAGAGTGGAGGAGACAGAGTGCTGGCAGGAGCACTCCCATGAGTGCTTTGCCGGGCTGTGGGAGCACACAAGGGGCCTTGGCTCCACACGCCTTCCCTGCCTGCTGCACGGGATGCATGCCATCTGCTGAGCAGCTCTTAGACCACAGGCTTGTATGCATTCACCTGGGCTGAAACAAGGCACTTGCATTTGAGTAAGAGTAGAATTGCATTGTTCTCTATGACTGCCTTATGGCATCTGGCTGGTTGTGTTGGCATATTTCTAGTTACGACTTGGGAAAAGGATGCACATTTCTGCTAAAGCTTTCCTGGAATGGAGAAAGACCTTCCTTGCCTCATTTCCCCTGTTTAAAAAAATTAAAAATGTAGATTGCAAGTTTCTCAGAATTTTGTTTAAATTATCAGCTAATTTTGTTTAAATTATCAGCATTCAGCAAAGAAAATCTGTATGCACCACACATTTGCATTAACAACTTAAAACCTTTATTGAGCGCAGCTTACAAAATATATTTTGCATATCAAATGTATCTGCATGTAAAATATCCCTTTTGTTATGTGTAAGAATTGAATCTGCTTTTGTTCGCCTGTGCGGAGAGTCTGCTTCATGGGAGGCTGTGCTGGGCTTGCCTGCTTCTGACCTCTTGCCACCCGCCTGTGGCTGCCTGAGCCCAGGGGGTTGGGTTGGGTTCCCAGGGCTTGCTCTCCTATGGACCATGCATTCGTTTTTTCTTGTTCCGTTCTGAACCTTGGTGCCTATTCCCAGGTCTGTGAGTTATTCTCCAGCTGAGGCAGGAGTGCCTGGACTCTTCCATTGTGGGGAGTTGCCCAGAATGCGTCGCTTGCTGACTTTCGGATGCCTGCCCCACGATGATTTCAGAGATGGAGTAGCTGCCCTTATTCAACACATCAGCCTGCTTTGGAGTTTTTCCACTGAAAACAGCAGCCTACAACCACAGTTTCCAAGGCCTAATACCTACACTACAATTTCAAGTCAGAGGCTAGATGAAGTGGTTTTATCCCAACAAATCCTTTGTCTAAACCTGCCACACACAAGCAGCTTAAGTCTGCTTATGAGAAAGATCTGGGTCTGCTGAGAACCCACAAGCAATGCTGTTATATTTTTTCAGGACAAGTATATTTCATTTTCCCTCCACATTACAGTGCTGTGATTTAAAATGGTACTGTGCTTGCATTCCTGGCACGGCAAATTTTCAGTAATGCCTTGACATAGTTTGCTTCAGTTCAGTCATATTCAAATGACTCATGATGCACTGATCCACAGCGGCTCAGCTGTGCTGTTCCAGATGAAAAACAAGCAAGCACACAAATGCACAGAAGTTGGAACAGAGCAACCTCTAATGCAAAAGTTGCAGAAATCCCAAATGACCCATGGAAATTTGGCTTGTGACATCAGATATTTCTTAAACTGCTTTGGCTGCCTGTTACTCCCTGCACGTGCTCCTCAGAGGTCAGGTGCATGCAGAATCATGTCCCTGCCTGGGACGGGGCTCCCGCAGCACTGCAAAGGAAGAAACACGGTGCAGACATGCAGCATGGATGCTTCTTGCAAGCCATCAGGGAACCCTCAGCCCAAGGCAGCAGCCGAACATGAGGAATAGCATGTGGGCTCTGGCTTGATTCTTCCTGAGAGGCCACCGCTACTGAGGAGCAGGCAAGGCCAGGCTGGGGGCCATTTCTGCACTCGGAAGTCTCTGTGCAGCCTCACCACCCCCTTCGGGCTTCTAACGATGGATCCTTGGCAGAGAGCAGAGCCGCCTATGCAACGCAAGTGCCTCCTGTGCACTCCAGGAGGCATTCCGGCGTGGCGTGGCGTGGCCTTCTGCAGCCAGCTGGGACCATGGCAGGCTGCACTATCCACTAACAACAGTCCAAGAGGCTTCCCCAGCCTTGGACCTTCTGAATGTGTGGGACTACAGCCTCTATCTGGTTGCCAGTGTTAGGAACTGACATCCAACATATTTGAATGGGAAAAGATGCAGTACAAGAAGCCGGGGGGTTTAGGGAACAGCAGCCCACTGTCGCGCGAGAGCCCTCTGGGGAGCGGGGCAGAAACAGCATGCTCAGCTCTTCACAAGAGAAGCTATTCCGACCTCAGCACACTGAAGAAAAGTTTCGGTGCCAGCCAGGCCCATGCAGCACTACTCCACTCACTTGGACGTGCGAGAGGGCAGGTATCGGGGAGGATGGGAGGAAGGAGGAGGGTGGGAACTCCAAAGAAAGGAAGCGGTGGGAAGGAGTTGAGGTGCATGTACACCAGTGCTAGGAGCATGGGTAATAAGCAGGAAGAGCTTGAAGCTCTCCTGGGAATAGGAGGGTATGACCTGGTGGGAATCACAGAAACTTGGTGGGATGAAAGGCAAGTCTGGAATGTGAACATAGAAGGGTATCACCTTTTTAGAAAGGACAGGAAGGGAAAGAGAGGTGGGGGCATAGCTTTATACGTCAGGGAACAGATAGGATGCAGTGAGATACAATGCAGCACAGATGGGGATTCGGTAGAGGCAGTCTGGGTTAAACTTAGGGGTTTTGACAGGGAGAGACCTGACAGAGGGGGTATGTTATCGCCCTCCAGGTCAACTTGAGACCCTGGATGATGTCCTGACAGGCCAGATTCTAAGGATATCTCGGGGGAGAGACACAATAATTATGGGAGATTTCAATCTCCCGGATATTACTTGGGAGACTCACTCGGTGACAGCCAGGTCATGTCGCTTCCTAGAAGCTATTGAGGGAGCGTTTTTCACACAGAGGGTCCGAGAGGCGACGAGGGGGGGGGAAACATCCTTGACTTGGTCTTGACCAATAGAGAGGAGCTGATAGATGAAGTATAGATTAGGGGAGCTCTGGATGCGAGTGATCACTCCATCCTTTGCTTTGAGATCAGGGGAATGGGGACTTGCAGCAGGTCGAAAACTAGAAGCTGGGACTTCAAGAGGGCCACCTTTGGCCAACTGAAGGCCAGACTGGGGAAAGTCTCCTGGGATAGGTGACTGGAAGGTAAGCAAGTTGAGGAGGGGTGGATGGCACTCAAAAGGGAGGTTTTGGAGGTGCAAGCCTTGACGATACCTCTAGTCAGTAAGGTAGGGAGGTGGAGGAGAGTGCCACCATGGATGAGAAAGGAGGTGGTTAGAGGGATTGGACGAAAGAGGAACCTCCGTAGGAAATGGGTACTGGGGGAAATAGACAAAAGGGTATACCGGGAGGAGGAGGCCCGTTGCAGAAGGATTCTTCACAATGCTAAGGCTGATTACGAGCTGAGACTTGCCAAGAATATCAAGAGCAACAAAAAGGGCTTCTTTCAGCATGTAAATAGGAAGAGGAAGGGGAGACAAGTGGTGGGACCACTAAATAAGGAGGAAGGAGATCCAGTGGGAACAGGCACAGATGCTAAATGACTATTTTGCCTCTGTGTTCTCCCCAAAGCAGGACGAGGGAGATCCGCATAGATTAGATGAGGCCGGGGACTTAGGGGCACAGATTAGAGTCACCCCCCCTTGAAGTCGAGGGGCTCCTCAGGGCATTGGACATTACAAAGGCGCCAGGCCCTGACGGGTTACACCTGAGAGTACTTAGAGAGTTGGCAGGGGTTCTCTCATGCCCGCTGGCCTCCATTTTTGAGACCTCGTGGAGAACAGGTGAAGTTCCAGAGGACTGGAGGGTGGCATCAGAGGTCCCAATTTTCAAAAAGGGTAGTAGAAGGGACATGGGGAATTATAGAATGGTTAGCCTTACGTCCATTGTAGGAAAAACAACGGAAATGCTCATAATAGAGAGAGATCTAGTGATGCTAGATAGGGAAGGGAGGCTGACAGCCACACAACACGGCTTCCGCAAAAACAGGACCTGCCAGACAAACCTTGTGGAATTCCATGACAAGGTTTCGAGATGGCTAGATGGAGGGGATGCAGTGGATGTGGTATACCTGGATTTCAGCAAGGCCTTTGACAAAGTGCCCCATGATATCCTGGTGGAGAAACTGAGGAGTTTGGGGATACACCAAAGCATTTTCCAGTGGTTTAGGGCATGGTTGACTGACGGAAAGCAGAAGGTAACCATTAGCAGGGAATCATCGGGATGGCGGCCAATGACAAGCGGGGTCCCCCAGGGCTCTGTCCTGGGGCCGATCCTGTTTAATCTTTTCATTAATGACATGGAAGAAGGGGTGAACAGTCTGCTGATCAAATTCGCAGATGACACTAAAACTGGAGCAGTGGCCACAACTGAGGAGCAGGTACTCCAGATTCAAAAGGATCTGGACAGACTATGGAAGTTGGCAGGAGACAACAGGATGGCGTTCAATGTGGATAAGTGCAAGGTCTTGCACTTGGGGCATAGGAATAGGTGTCATAAGTACAGGTTAGGTGACAAGTGGCTGGAGAGCAGCACTTGTGAAAGGGACCTCGGGGTGCTGGTTGACTGCAGGCAAAACATGAGTCAGCAGTGTGATGTGGTGGTCAAGAGGGAGAACGCCACCCTTGGTTGCATAGCCAGAAGTGTGGCTTCTAGATCAAGGGAGGTGTTACTGCCACTCTACACGACTCTGGTGCGCCTGCAATTGGAGTAGTGTGTTCAGTTTTGGGCCCCTCATTACAGAAAAGATATAGCCAGGTTGGAGTCAGTGCAGCCTAGGGCCACAAGGTTGGTGGCTGGTTTGCAGGGGATGCTGTATGAGGCGAGACTGAGGGAACTGGGTCTCTTCAGCCTGGAGGAGACTCAGAGGGGATATGTTGGTGACATACAGGTATGTGAGGGGATGTCACACAGATGTGGGTAGAGACCTGTTCTCCCCTGCAGAGGAAGGCAGGATGTGCTCCAACGGAGCAAAGCTCAGAGAGTCAAGGTTCCATTTGGATGCCAGGAAGCATTTCCTGACAGACAGGACCCCGAGGGTGTGGAATGGGCTTCCACGGGAGATTGTTGAGGCCCCATCAGTGCGGATGTTCAAGGATAGGCTGGACGTCCACATGGTGGGCATGTAGTGAGCGGAGCCGGTTGGTGCCGGAGGTCAGACTAGATGGCCCGGGAAGCCCCTTCTGACTCGCTCTGTTTCTATGTTTCCATTTTTCTATGATTGTACTGATGAACGCAGGAAAACAATTCAAATATTAGTGCTTTGTTTATAGTTAGTGTGTTGCAAGGATTCTTGTCTTTAAAAGGCTGCATTCAATGAGGGGAAACTCCATGCAATTGGCTGCCTTTAATGGGAACCCAACAAAGTGACAGCACTCACATTGAGCTTAGCTGAAAGCGAATTAAGGATGGATCCAGCAGCCACTCTGAGGTGGTGCCGGCACAGCAGCATCGTGTTGCCCTTTGCCAGCTGCATGGCCAGGCCTCTCCCAAAGCCATGCCCACCTCTGCACCAGCAGGGTGGAGCAGGGAGTCCGCCATAGGCAGAGCTGCCTTAGGAAGAGCCACTTCCTCAAGGGATGCTGAGACGCAAGTCGGCAACATTCCAGCAGGAAGCTGTGGGGGACTCAAGGTCAAAGCAGCTGCTTCGCTCTCCCCCGCTTCCAAATCCCTAACCCAAGTAGTTGGTTTTTCCCTGCTCTCCGATGGGCAACCTGGGTGACGGGCCTGCTCTTTGCCACTAGGCCAGAGAGACAGAGCCTCCCTCCTCTGGTTGGAGCCTCTTTTTGCACACGTGGTTATGAACATTCAACTCGGGAAAGACTTGATTTCGCTGAGTTTTATTCCTGTGATTCTGCATTCAAAAACATCTCAAATGTGCAAAATTTAAAAATACACATAGATACTACAGCATGTACACAACACCATCTATTTTACCATCTTTATTATCAAAAATAAAAGGGTGACAATGTGGCTCTACCGGGGTCAAACAGGGCGGGCTGAAGGCCCTTGAGGCCTGTCCACTAGAGCCAGATGCTGTGTAGGGACGTGGGAAGGCAGCTGGGGTGGCGCACGTGGAACGAAGAGCAGGGCGCCTCTGAGCACATGCTCTGTCCCGGAGGTGCACCCAGAATGGCCCAGAGGTCAGTCCTTTTACGTAGCAATTTCTTGGCTTTCTTACCTAGAAGCTTTCTTGGTTTGAGCAGCCCTTCTCAGAGTTGGGAATCTTTTAGTTCTTCCTATTGTCACAAAATTGGATCAAAACCCCTTGTCAAGTTACTGCAAATTACCCAAAGAGCTAAGCAGATCCCAACTGAAACTCATTTATTACAGTAATTTATATCCTACCTTTCAGGACACAAATTCTTCCAACAGAACACAGAATAGCTGTGTTTCCTCCATGCTGCCCACCCGTGGTCTAGGCATCCCTTCTTTGCAACCCTGCTGCGGTCCGGGAGCAAAGTCTCTGCAGCAGGAGTCCTGAGCCAATGTAAGCTGCCATGGCAGCCACGGACTGGCTGGCCAATGACCAACTGGAAGCACCAAAGCCAAGGGGTCAGCTGTCTCGGTAGACAAACAGGATGTCCTCGTCTGTGCCATAACTCGTTCTGGCTTCCTCAAAGTTGTTGATGCTGGTGCTGCATGTTCCTGTGGACGGGACCAAAGTGTGCTCAGTCCGATACAACCGGGGGAGCAGGTGGGGCCAGGTCATCTACTGGCCCACCCGTGCCGAAGAGGCCCCTGTGCATCGCTCACCCTCCCGAGGTGCAAGCCAGGAAGCTGCTGGAGCAGCAGTCTCCTCAAAGAGGCCTGCCCTGAGCAGGGTTACAAGGGTGCCGCTACTGGGCAGAGGGAAGTCAATGAACGCGGCCGAGCGGGTGGCGCTGGCCGGCAGTGAAAGAAAGGGCGCGGCTACTCACGGTCAGCATAGGCAGGGTTGTTGTAATAAATACTCCCTGAGGCTTTGCTGTAGCCACACAGTACAATGAAGTGGCCCTGGTAGTCGGGGCTCCGGCAGAAGCACTTCTGGCCGATGGGGAGGAAGCAGCAGTGCTTGACCGGGCTGGCGCAGAGGTCGCAGAGCAGCAGGACCGCGTTCACCAGCACGATGGCGGCGTGGCCTCGGGCCAGGTGCTCCTGGATGTCCTGGATGGTCACCGTGCTGCAGGCAATTCAGGGGGGCTCGCTGGGGGGCTCTGGGACACGCAGCCCCCACCCCGCCTCACCCGCCCACCCACCCAGGCGGCTGCTGCAGCTGCCACAGGCCTGGTGTACAGGAGGCAACCTGGGGGAGCACCCGGCTGCCCCCGCGGGATGCCTCAGGGGCAGGCGTGCGCCATGCCTGGGAAGGCGCCCGTCCTTCTGCCCGCGACAGAAAGGATCCAGTCGCGTCAGCCCGACCAGTGGGACCCCGCGGAAAAGCCGAAGGGGGTGAACCCAGAGAGCTCCATGCCAGCGAACTGCTGCGCTTTCTTTGGAAGGTGGCACTTGGCGCCCCCCACCCACCCCCATGCCTGGCATTAACCGCAGGGCCGGAGCCCCAGAAGAGCCACAGGGCCACGCAGCCCATTCGCTGGCTTGCCCGGCCTCCCCGCCCCCGGTGGCTGCCGCCTCCCAACAGTTCTGCAGCTCGCCTCGTTCCCACATGCCTCGGCAGCCGTCCCACCTGTTGCAAGGTTCCCACATGGCCTCCCCGGCTGACGGTGCTCCTGAACCAAGGGAAAGACTACAGCCGTTTCAGCTCAGCCTCGGAAGCGGAGGCAGATGTCCAGGCCACCAGAAGCAATGCGCCTCTCATCCTCCATGCTCCAGAGGGCTTCTGGGCCTCCCGGAGGCGAGCCACGGTCGATGCTGCCTCTCCCCTCCACTGCCACAGATATGGAGTGGCCAGAGCCAGGACAGGACTGGGCCACCTTCCACCGCTGCCTGCAGACGCCGAGGCTGACCCGCCCCGCCCGCTGCCGCGGCCCAGCGGACGGACGGCGGCCACCGCGGGACCAGGGCCAGGGGGCGCTGCTGCTGCCTGCGGGCCCTCCCTCGGCGCCGCTGAGTTTCTTTGCGGCCGCCCTTGCCCCCCTCCGCGGCTGCAGCCGGCAGCCTCGGGCCGGGGGCCGAAGGGCATTGATGCCGTTTGGGGCCATTTGGGGCCGTGCGGGGGCTGGGCTGGCCATAGACTCTGTGCGGGTGGGCTTTTGTACTGGGTGGTTGGAGAGTTTTATTGTTTTCATTGTATTTTAATTTGATGTTAATTGTTTTAATGGATTCACGCCTGGCTGCTACTGTGGGGTTACCTGGGGAGTGCATGGGCGCTGCCATTGGGGTGGTTTTGGGCAATTGTCGTTATGGCGTTGGGGGCTAGAAGAAGGAGGGACAGATGGTTGACACCTGTTCCTCCTTCTGGTTATTCCCCCAGCCGGAAGGTTCCGGGTATGCTTCTCAACTGCCCCTCGGGCCTGACGGTGCTGTTGCTTAATGCCAGGTCAGTCCACAACAAAACAACCCTCATCCACAACTTAATTGTGGATGAGGGGGCCGACCTGGCTTGCGTTACAGAAACCTGGGTGTGGGGGGAAGTGTCCCTCTCTCAACTGTGTCCGCCCGGGTATCTGGTCCAGCACCAGTCACGTCCCGAGGAGGGGCGGGGGGTCACTTTAATTTCTCAAGCTTCCATCTCCCTTGCGGGGCTTCCTGTCCTCTCGAGAGCAGGTCTAGAATGCCTTTATCTGGCGCTGGGCGACCGAGACAGATTGGGGATCCTGCTGGTGTACTGTGCACCCTTCTGCCCATCAGACTCCCTGCCTGAGCTGACGGAGATCGTCTCAGACCTGGTGTTGAAGACTCCCAGGATGCTGGTCCTGGGGGACTTCAATCTCCATGCCGAGACTGTTCTGACTGGGGCAGCTCAGGTCTTCATGGCCTCCATGATGGCCATGGGGCTGTCTCAACATGTCATAGGCCCGACCCATGAACATAGACACATGCTGGACCTGGTTTTCTCGATGGGGCAGGAAGAGGGTGATCTGAGGGTGCACAATTTATGTCTGACTCCCTGGTCATGGTCAGATCACTTCCTCGTGAGGTTTGAGCGCGATGCCGGCCTTTCCCTCTGTAAGGGTGCGGACCATACTGTGTTGATCCGCCCCTGGAGCCGGATGGATTCCTGAAGGTTCTGGGAGAGTTTCTGGTTGATAAAGCTGGTGCTCCTGTTGATGCTCTGCTCAAACTGTGGAATGGAGAAATGGCCAGAGCTACTGACACGATCGCTCCTAAGCGTCCTCTCCCGCCCGGCGGAGCCCGTTCATCCCCATGGTACACACCTGAATTACAGGCGATGCCGCGGGTTGGGGGACATCTAGAGCGTAGGTGGAGGAAATCACGGGATGAATCTGACCAAACACACTTAAGAGCCCATTATCAGGCCTATGCTGTGGCGGTGAGGGCGGCGAAGAAGAAATTCTTCTCCACTTCCATTGCCTCCTCACAGTGCCATCCAGCGGAGCTCTTTCGGGTGGCACAGGGGCTGGTACATCCAGGCCATAAGAAAGATCCTGTACCTCCTCGATGGCCCGCTGTGACGACTTTGCCCAGCACTTTAAGGAGAAAATCGCTCAGATTCGTCACGAGCTGGACTCCACTAGTGATTCAGATACTTTAGGGGAGATGCCAATAACTGTCTGGTCAGATATTATTGGATGAATAATATGACGTGGACAAGGTGCTTGGACAAGTACATCGCACCACCTGTTTACTTGACCCTTGCCCGTCGTGGCTACTGAACAAAGCCAAACATGGGATTGGTGCCTGGATCCTGGAGGTCATCAACACCTCTCTGAGGGACAGCCGGGTGCCTGCCCCTCTAAAGGAGGCGGTAGTCAGGCCGATCCTAAAGAAGGTGTCCCTGGATCCAGAGATGGCTGCCAATTATAGACCGGTGGCCAACATCCTGTTTCTGGGCAAGGTGTTGGAATGGGTGGTAGCAGGACAACTCCAAGCACTCTTGGATGAGACTGATTATCTGGACCCATTTCAGTCCGGCTTCAGACCCGGGTACGGTACTGAATCTGCCTTGGTCGCCCTGTATGATGACCTGTGCAGGGAGAAGGACAGGGGGAGTGCGTTCCTGTTGGTCCTCCTGGATCTTTCAGCAGCTTTCGATACCATCGACCATGGTATCCTTCTGGATAGACTAGCGGGACTGAGAGTCAGAGGCACTGCTTGGCAGTGGTTCCACTCCTACCTCAACGGCCGATTCGAGAAGGTGGTGCTGGGGGACTTTGGCTCTGCGCCACGGCAGCTATGCCATGCAGTTCCTCAGGATTCCATTTTGTCCACTTTGCTGTTTAACATCTATATGAAACCGCTGGGAGAAGTCATCAGGAGGTGTGGGCTGTGGAATCATCAGTACGCTGATGATACCCATCTCTATGTCTCTTTTTCAACCAATCCAGGTGAGGCAGTGGCTGTGCTGAACCGGTACCTGGCTGAGGTAATGGGCTGGATGAGGGCCAATAAACTGAAACTCAATCCAGACAAGACGGAGGTCCTGTTGGTTGGCGGATCGAGCTCCTGGGTAGGTGACTTGGACCTTGTCCTGAATGGGGTTGCACTCCCTCTAAAGGACAGGGTTCGCAGCTTGGGAGTGCTGCTCGACCCGGAGCTGTCTTTGGAAGCTCAGGTGACTGTGGTGGCAAGGAGTGCATTCCTTCAGCTTCGGCTGATCCATCAGCTGTGTCCCTACCTGGAGGACGACTGCCTAGCAACAGTGACACATGCATTGGTTACTTCCCGGTTGGATTTCTGTAATGCGCTCTACGTGGGGCTGCCCCTGAAGACAGTCCAGATACTTCAGATGGTGCAAAATAGAGCAGCCAGGTTGCTGACAAGGACTGGGCGTTATTCTCATATCACCCCAGTCCTCTACCAGCTTCACTCGCTTCCCATCGAAGTCCGAGCTCAATTCAAGGTGCTGGTCATCACCTATAAAGCCCTTAACGGCCTAGGACCTGGATACCTAAAGGAACGCCTTCTTCCATATTTGCCCTCCCATCCCCTGAGATCGGCAGCAGAGGCCCTCATCCAGGAACCCTCCGTGAAAGCATTAGGAGGGTGAGTACCTGGAGGAGGGCTTTCTCTGTGGTGGCGCCCCACCTATGGAATGCACTCCCCAGACAGGTCCACCTGGCACCATCGTTATTTGTTTTTCAGTGCCAGGCTAAGACCTTATTTAAACAATTTTTTAACAATTTTTAATATCACCTATAGGGTTTTAATTTACAGCCAGGGTGAATGTGGATTTAATTTGCACTATTTCTATTTATTGTTTATTTATTGTATGTAAGCTGTCCTGAGGCTCTTGTGATGGGACGGGATACAAAAAATTCTAAATAAATAAATAAAATAAAATATGCTACAGTGAGAGATTCTACTCTCACACGATGAGGTCAGCTTACAGGAAGGCGTTTCAGCCCTTTGCATTTACAAAGCAACCTCATCCATGTTTATTCAGAGGACAATCTCACACCAAGCAGTGCATCTTATACTCTAGTCGGCAGCCAAAGGACCACACTTATTGTCAACAGAATTAACCTGGTCCAAAGCAACTTCTCTGCTGCAAGATATGCAAGCCCCTTTCCTGAATTTTTACTCGATGCAGTGTTGTGCTTTCCTTCCTGTTAGGAGGGAACCAAGAGTGCTGTCACACATGCCATGGCACTGAGGGCAGCAGGCTCCTCATCTACCTGTACCAGTCTCAACTGGAGCATTTGCCAGGACAGCATTCTGTAAAAGCAGCAAGGCAGCTTTGTTCTTCCACCATCATTTCTGTATCCCCTCCCAGACTATGTCCACCTTTTAAAGAATAAGCACTTTTCCGGTAACACAGAACTGTAAGACTGTCGTCCTTTCCACAATTAATTATGCATAAGCCCAATTCAGTCCAGGGGACTTGCTTCCAAGCCATGCATAAGATGTTTAAGTGCCTTAGTGCTAAATGAAAAGAAGGAAGCAGCAATGACTTGCCTGTTCCTCAAATCTCAGGTCAGTTTGAAATCTGTTGGAAGACTTTTTTTTACGTTTGAATATAAAATTCCAAAAAAAAAAAGAACCTGTATTAAATGACTGTACTATTTGCAATAAGGCAAAGAAGAAAAAGAAACACCTCACCATTTCTCCACTGCCACTTTGCAGGCTTTGGCTTGTGCGAACAGCTGGTTTACTCGGTTCTCCTCTGTGTCGAAGTGCTTCCTGTAGAACGACTGAGAAAGGAGACAAGGCCCCCAGTCAGAGGAAGAGGCCAAGAGAGGGGCAGGTAGCGCTTGCTGAGATGGTGCCAAGGAAGCTTGCCAACATTAGGACAGTATGGACCCACCCCGTAAGGCAACTCAATTGGAAAAGGTATGTCCTGCCTTTTGCATGTTTAATAAATGGATGTTAAAATTTCAGTATACTAAAATGCTAAAAGAGTAAGCAATGAATAAAGCAGAAAGCACAATAAGGAGTCAACAAGTAAAAACAGCAGAAATCACAATCCTCATCCAATCCACAGTATCATTCAAAATTCCTAACGTTATATGACCAAGAGAACTAGACAGACATTTCCTAGGACTTAAAAGGATAGTTCTGGGGAAGGGAGAGCATACAGCAAACTGGGCGAGGGAGTCGCTTGCAGTCTGGGGCTCTCAGCTTGATGATTCCATGTCCCACACTCAGGTATCAGCGAGAAGAGATCTGCATCTTCCTCCTTGTGGCAGCCTTTGAGGTACTTATAGGGGGATCTCCTGTCCCCCCTCAGTCTTCTCTTCTCAAGGCTGAACATGCCCAGTTCTCTCAGTCTCTCATCGCAGGGCAGTGTTTCCAAACCCTGGTTCATTTTTGTTGCCCTCCTCTGGACCCTTTCTAATTTTTCTCCATTTTTCTTATATCTTGGTACCCAGAACTTGACACAGCATTCCAGATGGGGTCTGACTAGTGAGGAGTATTTAGCTTGTTGTCCACAATAACTCCAGGTCTTTTTCCTTTTGTTCTGTTGAGCCACGGATTCCACATCTTGTATTGATGCATGTGGTTTCTTTTTTCTAGGTGGAGGACTTGGCACTTGTCCCTGTTGAATCTGATTCGGCTGCTTTCAGCGCAGCATTCAAGTTGATCAAGATCACCCTGGACCTTCATTCTGTCTTCTAGGGTGTTTCCTGTTCCACCCAGTTTTGTATCATCTGCGAATCTGATTATCGTTCCTTGTACTTCCTCATCTAAATCATTAATAAAGCTGTTGAAGAGAACTGGGCCCAGGACTGAACCCTGTGGCACCCCACTCATTATCTCAATCCAATTTGAGAAGGTGCCATTGATGAGCACTCCTTGTGTCTGATTTAGCAGCCAATTTTGGATCCACCTACCGGTTTTTCCATCTAGTCCAGTTTTTGCTAATTTGCTTATCAGGATGTCGTGTGGTACTATGTCAAAAGCTTCACTAAAGTCTAGGTAGATTATGTCCACAGGGTTCCTTCTGTCGATTTGGGAGGTAACCCATTCAAAAAATAAGATTATATTAATCTGATGGGATTTATTTTTGATAAATCCATGTTAACTTCTATTAATTACTGCATTTTCTTCAAGATGCTTGCAGATGGATTTTTTAATAATTTGCTTCAGAATTTTTCCAGGGATTGACATCAGACTAACTGATCTATAGTTCCCAGGTTCTTCTTTGTTCCCCTTTTTGAAGCTAGGGACAACATTAGCCCTTCTCCAGTTGTCTAGCACTTCTCCTGTTTTCCAAGATTTATCAATGATAATAGCCAGGAACTTTCTGAGAGTTCCTCCGCTAGCTCTTCTATGACTCTGGAATGGAGTTCATTGGGCCCTGGAGATTTGAAAGTGTTTATTCCATCTAGGTATTCCTTGACCATTAGTCTGTTGGGCTGCCATCTCTCTTTCAGCTTGTATTTCCTTTTTGTTGTAGATCTTCTTGTGGAAGAAGACTGAGGTGCAGTTGTAACTGAGCACCTCCACCTTTTCCCTGTGGTCTTTTATCACTTTGTCCTCCACTTTAAGTAGCTGGACACCCTCCTCTTTCTCATGCCTTTTGTTCTGGATGTATCTGAAGAAGGCTTTCCTGTTGTTCTTAGCATCCCTTGATAGTCTCAGTTTTTTCCCTAAACACTAAATGACCAGAAGGAGGGGCAGGCTCATGTGGGAGAGGGAAGTCCTCATGCACTTCTGTCCAGGTCAAAAGCCAGCCCTTGAACTGTCCCTCAGAACAAATGGCAGTGGACGGTGGCCTAACAGCGGTGGAACGGGGGGTGGGGGGCTGTGGCTGGGGCCAGCGCACACTCTTGCGCGCCTGCTGTGAGCCATTGGACCAGCAACAGCAAATGGGAGACGGCTTCCAGGGGCCGAGGCACACCCACTGCAGGGCACGCAGCTCTCAGCTCCTCCAGCATGGGAGGGCTAGCCATGTACGCCACCAGAAATGCCGTGCGATTCAGAGACAGACACCTGAAGCTGAAGGGCAGGAGCCTGAGCAGCGCCGTCCCTAATGGGACACCCTTTTTACCTTCACTTGTGGCTCATCCAAGGCAGGGAGGAGCCACAACTGACGACGCGGAAGTCTTGCGATCTGGGTGTGCGTGGCAGCCCATGACCCCAAGCCACGCTGCATGGTTTCTGCGTGCATGCGAGCTCAGCTCATGCGCTGAGCGCCCACATCCAAGTGGTCTGTACGCGTCCAGCATTCCTGTTTCCCCGCCCGTCCTCCAAGCGGTGGCACGGAATCGATCCCGGGGCACTGCTCCTGCCTGCCTCGCCTGCCTCCGCCTCCGCAGCCCACACGATCCCATGGGCAGGCCTCAGCCAATGGCCTCCCAAGTCTTTTTTCTGCTGGCCCCCACCGCAGCACTGCTGGGACATGCCCCGCGGCTGCCCTGCTCGGCTCAGGCACCCCTGCCACACCCCCCTCACCGCACGTGTGTCCATGCCTCCAACTCAGGGTGCGCGCCTCCCCCCACACCCAGGCACGCGGAGGGCATCTGCAAGGCAGGCCACACCGGGGCAGCCAAATGCCTCCGGTCTGCAGGCTTCCCCCAGAGCGCCCATGCGGGCATCTGCTGGCCGGAGGATGCACCGTGCCTCAGCTGTGGGGCAGCAGGGCTCATGGGCAGCCCGTGTGGATGCCGGGGACACACTGGGAAAGCGGGCAGGGTGGAGGCGCGGCCTCTTCCGACGGGTGCTCTGACAGCCGTGCCCAGCCATGGGCGAGGCGGTCCTCACGAGGAGGAGACCACTGGCTCCGAGCACCACAGGCGCACCCTGTCACTTCACACACTGCTCCGCTACAGGGCATCGCCCGGACAGGAGCACCGAGAGCGACTGCCTCCACGGGCGCCGCTGCTGGAGATGGCGTGGCGGAAGGCCCTGCCGCTGCCAGTATCCCTGAGCTGCAGCAAAGCACTGGGAAGGCAGCGTGATGCGGACAGAGGGAAAAGGCGGCGGGAGGCAGCCAGTCCACACACTGCTGCAGCTGCTCAGCAGCTGCTAGGCAGGACAGGACAGCCCAACACCGAAGCTGTCCTGGCAGTGCTCCTCTGCAACATGTCTGCTGCAGCTTCTCTTCCCACCAGGCTCAATGGCAGAAATATGGAAATGGGGGAAACACTGTAGCAGAGGCCACACATAAGCAGCTGCCATGGGGAAGCGGGAAACTTTACAGCAAGCGGTTGGTTCTCTGCATGGTCATGGAAACGAAGCATCCCACGCTTCACCACCGCGGTTATGCTCACACAACAAGCCATGCTTGCACAGTTTACAGCACGACTTGCTACACGTGAATTCATCTTCAAAGTCAAACATGCCGGAAATGTTTATAACTGCTAGGAAATAAAACACAGTTCGATGCTCCTTAGAGGAGCATCTTGGGAAGAATTCCTGCCCTTCAGTCTTGGCCGAAGCACAGTACCAGGAGCTGACCTGGTTTCTGTAGCCTTTGTCCACGCCAAGGGTCTGCGTGCAGAACCGATGTTTCACACCAAAATGGCGCATCAGGTAGGCCAAGTCGATGGTCCAAATACTCTTGGTCAACTGGAGGTCCTGAATGGCTTTCTGGAATTCATCATCATTCAGCAAGTTCATGTACCTGGGATCAAGTAGAGGAAGTGGTGGGGGGAAATCATGTGGCATCAGGAGGAAAACATTATCTTGCGCTGAGTCACAGGAGAAAAGAAACACCCAACAGCCTTATCGATAGGGCCTGCCAAAGCAGTGGATACCTCCTCCCCATGCATGCGTGCACACACACACACACACACATCACAAACATCAAAGCAAAGGAAAGGGATGGAAAGTGTTCCACAGTATTTTCTTAGACTTTCTCATTTAGGAATGGTTCTTTCCTTTGATGCATTTAGGGAACCATATATACTACCTAGAAAGCAAAATATTTCAAAAGGGTCTCTCTTGTGAACAGTAACTGATAGTTTAGGCAACTAAAACAGAAGGAAAGGATTTGGTATCTGGGGCAGGGTATTTTCTGAACAGGCAAGAGTTGGAAGAACTTGATGAAAAGTTCCTTGGATACGGGTTGTGGTCTGGTGCAGGCAGAAGGAAAGAGAAACTGTGTCCAGGGTTTGCATGCTGCCTCCTCCCCTAGCACACAAGGCCTTTTTCTGCTTCCTTAACATGTGATTTGTGTTTAAGCACAGTTACAGGCAACCAAGACTGATCTGCAAGTCTTGATTGGAAGTAGGTCTCTAAGTTTCAGGCATCCCTGTCACTGTCTAAACATGGCTTTAACAAGGTTATAACACTGCAGTGCTGCTCAAACAATCCGTGCAAAGGAGAGCTCTGGATGGAATTCACAGGAAGACAGCTGTGACCCACTCCCCACCTCAGACCACAGTTTCACCCAAGCTGGACTGGCAGCAACACAAACCGAAGAAAGAGACAAAAAGGGTGGGGAAGGGCAGCTCATTCGGGGTCAGGCGATGGGGGCAGCTTCACAGTGAAACGGCACCAGCATGTAAGGGAAGCTGCTGGTGTTCAGAGCAGAGGAGGGAGATTTGCAGCCATGGGGAAGGGAACTCTGGTCTTGGAAACTCAGTTCGGAACAGGTAAGAAAGAAGAGAAGTTACAGTAGTCAAGATGGGAAATTACCAGCACATGGACTAACGTCTTGAAAGTAGGGATGGAGAGAAATGAAAATCTTCTGCGTCATATCTACTAAGTGGCCCTCTAAATAGGTATTTCTTTCTCCTGCATCTAAAGCTCGTGTTCCTCTGTGGAAGGAAAGACGAGTTCAGCAGGACAGCTGGCAGGTAAGAAACGAAACCCAGCAGGAAACCCTGTAGGCAGGCACATGGAAAACTGTAACTGTTGTTATTCACAGGACACAAAAGGCACAGAATCTGTGGAATGGAAGCCAATGAAGCCGAAGAAGAGAATGCAAGATACTAACAACACACAGGGAAAACCTGCTGAATTAACACCTAACTGAATGGTGTGGTGAGGATTGTTTTCCTCTGTGCAAAACATCACTCTTTAAAGTTCTTGCATGAAGTAAATTAGACCTTTTGCACACCCCATCAAGGACATTCAGGCTTAATTTCTCCCTTCCCCACTTGAGGAGCGGCTGCAGGTGCTCTGCTCATGTAATAGATCATGCGCAGAATCATGTGGAACCATCTTGCCAAAGCTCCCTGCTCCCACTGCCCTCACTGACACTCCAACCAAAATGTACTTACTGTAGCACCATTCTGGAGCAGGCCAGCCCACAGTCCCAGTGATACAGCTGCTGAAGAACTGGCACTTTCAGCTGGACATCATCTACTGCAGTGAAGAGGACAGAGCAGTCAGAGAGAGAGTACGGCAAGAATGACAGAAATATTGTCCTTCTGCACTTTCACATCATTTAACAACTTTCTAAGATGTTCTTCCATATTTAAGAAATCATTCTGCAACATTTTTAAACAACTTCCCTCAACCTGGTTATGCAATAACTTAGTACAGGAAAGTAACTACTCCTCAACAAACTAATTTCTTTGTGGATTTGAGAGGTGATGCAGATGCAAATACAAACTGTCCAGACCACTTTCCTTTTTGGTAAACATAGCTGGCTTACAGCTTTAGTTGAGTGGCACCCAGTCCCACGAGAAAAAGCAGGGTCTGTGAACAGCAAAGAAAGTAAAAGAATCCATCCAAAGTTTGTTTGTACAAAGGCCATCTCAACACAACCACCTGCAAATCTTCTGGAGACAAGAAGTTTGTCCCATTCTTGGCACAGAGGATGACGAGTCACTGCTCGCTTTCACTGGCTTTTTGCCCATACTTCCTCAGGAACACCTTGTTAGGACTCAGCAGTGTTATGATGGGAACTGTGGAGACTCAGCTTTGTGACAAGCCTGCCCAAGTCTTGGTTGAAAGAGGACACACCACCTTCTCCTGAAAGGCCAGTTCCCAGAAAAAAATGTGGCCTGATCTCTGTTCATTCACTGAGGAACAGAGCATATTTGGGCAATGGGGTTCCAGCAAAAACCAGAAAATGCCACCACCTCTTGCCCCAGGCCAGAAGCATACATTTAAGAGAGCATCTTCTCAAACTCTGCCACTTGGCAGGGGAGGTGCACCAGGGCTGTTCCCTCCCCTATCCCAGCCAGATATCACCAATTATATGTTTTTGGGACACTTCCTGTCTCTTCCCAAATCCCCAGCTCCGCTTCTCCTTCCCTTTGCCTTCTCCTGGAAGCAGTGGGGTTTTCTTTGCTGTATTGGAACAGCAAACGCACATGGACGAATACAGCAGTGGGGAAAGGGAGACTTCATCCCCCATGGCTGTTGGACAGCTGTTCCCTGCACCTTTCAGGGATCCTTGCAAGGCACCTTTTTGTGCACATGTACAGAAAATCCTGTTGGGGGTGCCAAGAAGGCCTGCAAGCAGCAGCAGCAGCGGAGGACAGACCAGGGGCTTTAGTTCCTCCACTGAGCTTGTGGCTCTCCCGTCCGCTGCAATGGACTCACAACGCCACTGAAGGAGTGATACAGGCTGGTGTCCCCTTCAAACTGTGGGGAGCAAACTGGATTCCAGAGGGTTCCTAGACAACTGGACAGGCCTCGCTCAAGATTTTGCCGATAACCTTAAGCTAACAGGAAGGGCTTTTTGGCGTTTGGATTATAATGATTTTATTAGGCTTAAGTTCCTAATAAATACCGTTTCCGCAGTTTAGACGAAGAGAAAGCACTACACGTCCCAGCCAGCACTCTGCAGGGATGCCGGAAGTCGTGCGGCTTTTCACTTTCGCGCCCCGAGAAAACTCGCGGGGCGCGAGTGGGGCGGCCGGGAAGCCGCTGCGAGCACTACAAGGCCTGGCCTCTGGGCCACGCTCGGCTCGGGAGGCGCCGCGACCCCCCCCCCCCAGACGACCGCCCCGGACCTCGTCGCAGCCCGCTCCGGCCACTCCCGGCCCGGCAGACGCGCAGGGGAGGCGAGGCTGCCCGCGCGGAGACGGCGCTCGCCGCGGAGCACCGCGCCCTTGGAGGCCACCGGCGTAGCAGGGGAAGTGGGCCTCCGGCCCGGCCCTTCCCGCCCGCAGGCGCGTCGATTGCGGAGCTCGCCCGCGCGCCCTGCACCTGCCCCGAAGAGGGGCGCCGCCGCCGCACGCACCGACCTGAGGGCGGCTCCGCAGCCTCCCCGGGGTTCTTCATGGCGGGGTGGCCAGACAAGGACGAGGCGGGAGCGGCCGCTCACGGGGCAGGCCAGGGCATAGCTCCGCTGCGGCCTAGTCGCGCCGCTGTCCGCCCGGCAGCTCCAACCGCGACCCTCTCTGCACGGGCGCGTTTCCTCGCGAATCGCCGGCCGCCCCTCCTCGCGACCCACGCGACACGCGTGCCCACATACACACATGCACCACACCCTCGCCACACGCGCTGCGACTGTCGCGCAGCCGTCCCCCTGTGGGGCCCTCCGGAGGGTAGGACTACAACTCCCAGCATTCTCTAGCCAGCGCAGGCGGTGACTGGGGGATGTTGGGAGCTGTAGTCAGATCCCTCTGGCGGGCCGGGAGGGACCTCTGCTTCGCTGCGGGTTCGCTGCCGCCTTTCCGCGCTAAGAAGCGGTACAAGTGAGCCGAGAGCGATGGGGCGGAAGCGGCCAACTCGGCCGCCAGTTCAAAGGCGGGGCGGAACTGCCATTCGCAGTCCCTGTGTCCCAGGGCGCCCCTTGAGCCGTGCACCTCTCGGCCATAGAGCAGCGGGCACGGAGCGGCGTGCTTCCGGGTCCCTGGCGCGCTGCACGTTGGGAGGCTGGAGCGAGTCGGAGCGCGCCGTCGGACGGTGAGCAGATGGGCCGCGGCGGCAAGCGGGGGGCGTGGGGGCGCCCTTCCTCCCCGTGCGGCACGGCGGCTTCTCCCGCGCGCGGCCAGGCCCTCGGCTCGGCGCGCCGCTCCTCGGGAGGCGGCTCCCTGCAGGGGGAGCGTGCTGGGCGCGATCCGCACGCGGTTCTCGCGGAGAGCAAGTCGCCAGCCGCGGCCCGCCCTCCTTCCCTCGGGGGCGCGCGGGATCTGCGCCGTTGCCCGTGCCCCCTGGCGCTGGCTCTTCGGCGGCCGGTCACCGCCGGCAGCACGTTTCAGTTGGTCCGTTCCGGTGCAGGCAGCCTTTCGGGCGCGCTGGGGGTTCCGCGGCCGCCCCGCCTTGGTCGTGTGTGTCTGTGTGTGTGGGGGGGTCCCACCAAGGGTGCGGGGGCTCGGGGAGTTGGTGCGAGCCCACATATTTGCGTGTGTGGCGCTGACTATCACATTCAAATTTGCCACTACCCCACTGCTCCCCATGGTCGGAGGGGTGGACCCCCGCCAACAGGGCCCAACGCCCCACTGCAGCCACTGGGAGGATCCTGCAGCCCCTCTGGCAGCATGCTACTCCTCAGGCGACCACGAAGCTTCTGGCCAAGTATCCTGGAGCCGGTGTGGTATTGTGGTGAGCGCTGGGTTGGCGCTCTGGAGACACGTTCGAGCTGCCCCTCGATCTGGAAGCTCACCGGTTGACTTTGGGCCAGTCACTCTCAACTTAACCCACCCTGCAGGGTGGCTGTGGGGGAATACTGTGGGGAGGAGGAAAGTCGTGTCAACTACCTTGGGTTCCTCCTAAGAGAGACTAAGATGGGATATCAATGTAATACAGTATTGACAATATTAACAGTGTATAAAGCCTTAAATCACTGGAGGCCTGGTTGACTTCAGGATCCCTTTGCCTCTTGAGGCCTTGCCCTGTCTTCACAATCACCCAAGGTGGCACTTGGGACTAACGCTCGCTAGTGGAGCTCCTGTTCTCCCTGGCAGTGCGAGGAGACGTGAGTGGTGCTGGCTCAGACCCAGGGCCTCTCTTTGTTCCAGTAGCAACCAGGCAGCTGACTATGGGATCCCACTTGGAAGATGTGGATGCAACAGCACCTTTCTGCCCATGTTCCCCAGCAGCCCCCTCTGCCCCTGGAGCCAGCATGAGGGCGCAGGCCTTATGCCCTGTCTGAGACTGGGGCGCTGCTGCACCCGCCTTGAACTGCCACCCACAGTGGGCTAAATGAACCAAGCGTCTGATTTCGAGCACTTGCCCTGGCAGCACCCACTTTCCAAAATGTGGCAACAGTTGCCGTTAGGTAGTCTCTGCTGTTCTGCCATGGAGGGCTCTCTGCAAGACCCATCCCTTCACACAGCCTTTCCCAGAGGTGCCCAGCCGGCCACAGCAGTGCGTGCTGTTTGGTTCATTATGCAGGTTCTAAAAAATTAATGAGTTCATTCAAAGGTAGCATGGAGCAGTATGGTAATTGCTGATGCTCACTAATTTTCTTCCTCTCAGATTTGACCACATACAGCCTCAGTTATGTCCATTGGCGTGCCGATTAAAGTTCTGCATGAAGCAGAGGGTCATATTGTGACCTGTGAGACCAACACTGGCGAAGTATACCGGGGCAAACTCATTGAGGCAGAGGACAACATGAATTGCCAGGTAGGTGAGATTTTATTCATTTACTTTTTAAACATTATATACTGTTCCTTCAGCACATTACTCTTTGCTTTAGGAAATGGTGATGGCTGGCCAGTAGTTTCCTGGTTGAGTTGTTCATCTGTTGTGAAGGTTCCTAGACTTGTGGCAAATCCAGAAGAATTTAACTGAGTCCCCTGTGAGGTAGAGGAAGTGGAAATGAATGGCTTAGCTGATTGTTGCAATCTCTCTCTCCTTGTCCCCCACCCCCACTCCATGTACTGGGTGTCTTGTTGCAGGATGGGACCTTCGAATGGAGCCAAACAAGACAAAGCTCTATTAGGGCTTCCTTCCTCGTTTACATTCCCACACATCTGTTTTGCTTACTCCCCAGGCTTTCTAATAATACGAACAGTTTTTAATTATTATAAGCTGCTCAAAGTGTTCACTGGTTGTAGTTTTTGCCTGATGCTGCACTGCTGTAATTTTGTAATATCTGGATTTTACTTTCTCGTAAGCCATCCTGCAAATGTTGATTGGCCATTCCAGGGTAAGATATAAACTGTAGAAATAAATAATTGTTTCTATGCTGCCCAGGAGCAAAAGTGGGTTGTTAACAACAATAAAGTTACAAGATGGGGAATACTTGGCTCAACAATTTTACAAGTGAGAAGGATCTTGGAATTGTTGTAGTTCACAGGCTGATTATGAGCCAGCAACATGATGTCACTGCAAGAAGGACAACTGCTATTTTAGGCTGCATTAATAGAAGCATCACTTCCAAATTATATGCAAGTGGTAGTTCCCCTGCTCGTCAGCACTGCTTAGGCCTCATCTGGAGTACTGTGTCCAGTCCTGGGCACCAGTTTAAGAAAGATGCAGACAAACTGGAAAAGGTTCAGAAGATGGTTACAAGGATGATCTAGGGACTGGAAACAAAGCCCTGTGAGGAGAGTTTGAAAAAACTGGGTGTATTTATCCTTGGGAAGACTGAGGAGTGATATAATACACTCTTCAAGTACTTGAAAGGTTGTCACACAGAGGAAGGCCAGGATCTTCTCAATCATCCCAGAGTGCAGAACATGGAATAATGCATTCAAGTTACAGAAAGACAGGTTTCGGCTGATCTTTTCTAGCACTTGCTGTGTCCTGCAGAGATACTTTTGGTTCTGAAATCAAGGGCTTATTCTTGCAATTTTTAAAATACATTTACAAAAACCGGCATGTAAGAGGCCCACCCAGATTCCTTTCCACCTGTATTGACTAGCCAGTTGGATTGCTCAGCTGGTAGCTTTTCCCCATTAGTTTCTGCAGATGTGCTTGTTTTTGCAATGCCTTCATATTCAGCAATCACATTCTCTTCCAGATGTCCAACATCACAGTGACCTACAGGGATGGCCGTGTGGCACAGTTAGAGCAGGTGTATATTCGCGGGAGCAAAATAAGGTTCCTTATCTTGCCAGATATGCTGAAAAATGCACCAATGTTGAAAAGTATGAAGAATAAAAACCAAGGTTCTGGGGCCGGAAGAGGCAAAGCAGCTATTCTTAAAGCCCAGGGTGAGTATCTAGGTGATTAAGGACTAAGGCAGCACAGGCTCAGGTTAGTTCTATAAAATCCAGAGGGGAAGAATTCATTCCCTGCTGACTCTAGAGTCTGCCAGTCACCACATCTTCCCTCTCTTCCCTTGACTTTCTCTGGTTCTGGCTCTGGCTCCCAACAGAAGCTAATGCTACAAGCAAAGCTGAGCACTTTGGAAGGACCCTGAGAGGTTGGCTGGCAAGAAGGGGAAGCAAAGAGACATTTCACAAAGACACTTTATTTATGAAATTCCCTGGCACAGGGCTCCATGACAGTTGCAGCCTTGAACAGCTTTAGAATGGGATTGGACAAATTTCTGCAGTGGGGATTTGCCAGGGGCTGCTGATCATGACTGTGGAGTTGAGCCTTTAGTCTGTCGCTTATTTGCATTTGCGCAGAAGCCGCAGCAGAGTCAGCGATTGCCTTCTGGCCTTCCCTGAAGCATCTGTGAGGCAGGATGCTGGACAGAGTGGCTCTTTGGCCTGACCCAGCTCGCTTTAGCTATGTAGTCCTGTCCTGCTGATCATTCAGAAAGGCTCCTGTGTGACTTAGATGCCAGGCAAAGGGAGTCCTGATGGAGAGGGAAAAGAATCTTGTGGTCCCAGTGCTTCAAAACATGGCCTTGGTCTTATTCTGAAGTATTTAAGTGTTTTTTTTCCCTTTTAGTGGCTGCAAGAGGAAGAGGACGTGGAATGGGGCGTGGCAACATTTTTCAGAAGCGGCGATAAAGTGGCTTTGGTGAATTGAAAATTGTTCTAGCAGCTATTGGGTCTGGCATTTGGTGCTTCAATAAACGTGTTTCTTACAAAACGGGGGCACATCCATCACATGGCGGCTCCACTTGTGCCGGTCTCTTTCCTGTCAGCCTCAGAATGGCTTTCGTCAGCTCCTCCTGCCAAGAGGGTCTTCCAGTGTTGCTCGCAGGCAGTGCACTGCGCAAATCGTCCTTAATTCTAGACTGATCACACGCCTGCCTTCCATGTGGTAGGAATATATATCACCGACATGAACAGCCATGAGGCCATGTTGCCTCTTCAGGCATGGCGGGCGGGTTGCAACTGGTGATAGCCAGGGACTGGGAAACACAACATCATCTAAGAAAATGACTTGTTTCAGTTCTGGTGGGCAAATTTTTAAAATACCATTTTCCCAGCAAAAAATTGTATATACCAACTCTGACAGCTTCTCTAGGTGATCAAATTTTGTCCAGTTAAATGCTTAAGCTTATTTTTCAAAATTCAGAATAAAGTTTGCATGTTCAGCAAGTATTAATATTTCCAGAAGCTTGTACTGATTTGCATACTTGAATTCTGAATTTTAACTCTTGGAGCAGTTTTGCATGTTTTGTGGGCAGAGAGTGAGATATGCAAACATAGGACAAGCTGCCTGTCTCAGTAAGAAGACAATGTGGGGGGCTTTGCTGCAGGGGCAGGGGGCTGTCTCTTAATCTGTACTGTGACGCTTGGATTTTTGGCTTCCTGGGTCAGCCCATTGGTCCATCTAGATAGGCCAATATTGTCTGTTCCGCCCTTTCCCAAAAGTGTGTTCCACTTGTGTTTGACCACCGCTTCCAGCATGCCCTAGCCCAAGTTTGAAGGAGCTAAGAATCCTGAAGCCCAGCATCAGCAAAATTGGTCCAGATTAGTATGCACCCCGTAAGGTAACCCAACCAAGTTCCTAACAGGGCCTTTGTACCTTCTTGGGACGCCTCCCAGTCTTTGTTTACGTGCTCCGATTCACTGCCAGCAGCATGTCTTGTGTGCACAAAATTGGTAGGGAAGTGGCAAGTGAAAGAGCGGACAGATCTGCCGCCAGTGCTGAGCCTCTCGCCTAAGAAATGTTCATGTGTGGCATGGCAGGTGTCACTTCTTGCCATGAGGACTTCTGTGCATGCTTGAAGGGTGGGCACACCGGCCACTACAAGAGCAAAATACTCTATACGTTCTAAATGTATAAACTTGGTCTTTAGGAACAATACAAACAGCTTGCTAGAAAGGGTAGTGAGCTGGAGTTGCACCTGGAGCTGCAGTGCAAGTATTTCCTGAGTAGGGCGAGCGTAATGCTTCCTGGCTGTTCTGGCACGGTTTGGCCTCTGCACGGGGGGGGGGGGGGGGGGAGGTGAACGCGGGGGGGGGCCATGCCTGCTGCCTCAGCACAGCCTTGCCGCCTCCCAGCCAGCACACTCCTCAGGCTCAGGTCCATGAAGTCCATTTATTATTACTGAGCTTACACAGCAATGAGCAATGCTGAGGATGCAGACACAGGTTTCACAACACTACTAGTTTCCTCACTTGTCTCACAAGTGTGGACTTACTGGCATCACAGTCATCAAGCAATCTCAACTAGACAACAAGCGGCGCAGCAGTGCTCTTAATACATAACACGCTTGAGCCTCTATACGGAACAGCCCAATGAGGAGCAGAGAAGCTCCAGCAGTTTTTGTCCAAAAATGGGGGCAATCAAATGGTTTATGTTACTCTGTACAAGCCTCCCGTCTTCACCCTCAAGCCCCATAAACGCCACCACCTCAATGTTGACATGCCTAGTCTTGGACTATCCTGACACTGCAGTCCAGTCATGTGTTCTTGGCTTACACATGCTGTGGAACGTTCCATTCCCTCTCCCTTTGTCTGGAGAGGGGGGAAAACGAGGGAGGCGAGCCGGGCACTGAAGACTGATGGTGTATTGCCTGATGGCTGCCCCTGAGGCATTCAGGCAGCCCTTGCCTGGCCCGTACAGCAGCTCCCTCCTGGCCACTTGGGGCTGCACCATCCCAATATTTACAGCTGGAGGGGAGGAAAGTGTGGCAGCGGCAGCAGCTCTGTCCCAACAGCTCATACCAATTATTCCGAGTTCCACAGCTTCCCTGGCATCTCCCAGTCAGTTTCCTTTCCCTGGGGCAAGGTTTCCTGTTTTCATGGTAAGTGCCTAGTCCCTATTTTGAAATGTGTGAGTGAAGACTGGTTAGGATGGAGTGGACAGCGGGGCAGCCATGGACTTGATGGAATTATGTCAAGCCAGTCAGGATTGTGGATAAAGTCAGAAGTACCTAAGGGAACTCGTGGAGAGAGAGTTGCACCCCTATTGCTGGCACAGCCATGGCTTCTGTCTGGCAGACGAAACAGAGGGCCCGTCACCTTCCGCAGGACTCCTGGGCGAAGCTGCAGGAGGGGTCCTCTGCCTCTGACATCGACCCTTCCCCTCGCAGTGCCGCCGCCTCCTCACATTGGCTGGTGTCCAGCTCAGAGTCACAGTCCAGGGATTCATAGATGGTAGGCAGTGTGGTCTGCTGGCTGAGGCGCTTCCGCAAGCCGACCAGCAAGGGCTGTGGCATGGAGGAGATGTCCACGTTATTACCAAGGTCGATCCAGGCCAGGGAGGGGAACTTGCGCGTGTCCTTCATGATGTCCGTGAGCTCCTTCACAGTGGCCCGGGTCAGGCGATTCCCATTGAGGGACAGGTGGGTGAGGCTGGGCAGGGACCCCAGGAAAGGCAGCAAGAGGCGCATCATGTCATCAGTCAGGTCAGTGAAGCTCAGGTCCACAGTGTTCAGGTGCTCACCATTGTTCTGCAGGTAATAAGTCATACGGTGAACGTCCCGCATAGACAGGGGAATGCCTGACAGATCAACAGCATCTTGGCTCAGCTTCTTTAAGTTAGTCTTCAAGCTAAAGAGGAGAGAGGGAGAGCAGGAGGGTTTAGAAGCGAGCGTGTGCAGGCCTCCGCCGTGGAGGGGTCCGCTGCGTGTGGCGGGGAAGCCAACCTACGCGGGCAGGTGGGGCTGGTCCGGTGCTCAAGCCTGCACTCCCAGAATGCCAGCTGCGTGCACCACTGCTCTGCGAGGGTGGTTGTGGGAACATCTTGGATCTCCAGTCCAAGGGGTCCAACTTGTGGCCCTTTAGGTGTTGCAGAACTATGGCTCATGTCCCCTCTCTTAATATGCCGCCCAGAGCTGATGGGAACTGCAGTCCCAACAACACCTGGAGGGCCACCTGTCGGAGGGGGATCGCTCTTCCCAGCCCCAGTCACCTCCACACCTGGCTTGCAAGACCATCGTTCCTGCACTGCCTGCATGCGAGGTCAGAAAAATTACCGTGCCCAGACCTGGCTCGGTGCGAGTTACTGCTCTGGGAAAGCCCTGACCCGTGCCGTCACTGCACTGTCGGCACCATCCATTTGCATGCCAAATTTCACACAATATATTGCGCTTAAAACCAGTCACAAAACAAGTATGACAGCCGCAACTGTAATGCAACACAACATTTACACAATTGCAGTTCATTTAAAATGTAACATTCAACTAGGACACGACATACCAATCCATCAGTGAACAATACCCTGTGCTGTCAAAACTTTACTCATACCAAACAATCCACAAAGCAGTTGATGTTGAGAGACCCAACATGAGCCACCTCGCCCACAGCAGAGACACATGAAGAGGAGGAGGAGGAGACCGTGGGAGGCAGGAGGAGCCCCTCCCGCAGGGCCTGAGCCAAGGAAGGGACCTTCTTCCTTGGCAGTTCCCCTCCTGGCCCTCCCTGGGCGGTGGGGCTCCCAGGGAGGCACCGAGGAACAGGGCCACTCCCGGAGCGGAGGGCAGCCCCAGAGCAGCAGTGGCAGCGGGGCGGGGGGGGGGGGGGGGCCCCCGGGGGGGGGGGGGGGCCCCCCGGGGCGGGGGGGGGGGGGGGGGGGGGGGGGGGGCAGGGCCACTGGGTGCAGCAGGCATCTCTCCTCTCCAGTGCCAGGGGTCAGCCAAGGCCCGGCTCTACAGAGACCCGGCGCCGGGCTCTACAGAAGGCCTTGCCTGCACAGCCAAAGGGGGAGAGCGCTGGAGCCGGCACTGAGGGCCACGGAAAGGCAGCATGGCCAGGAGGCAGTGCTGGGGCCCTTGCGGCCTCTCCAGGCCGCTCCCACAGCATCGTTTGGCACCACTCCATTTAAAACTGTTTGATGGGCCCACCTGAAATTTCAGAATGGGCACGAGGCCATTAAAATGGTTGGACACCTTGTCAAATGTAAAATAGCTCTGAATGCCATTCTCTTGCTGGAAGTGGATACTAATCAAATAAAAATACATGAATAAAAGCATTTACTTCAGGCTAATGGAAGCAAACCAGAACCCAGAAGTGTTCAAAAACATCCTAGATACAACCTTGTTTGTTCAGCAGGGAAGAGCAAAGCACAAGTGAACGGCACAAGCACGTTCACAGGAAACCAGGGTCATGCAAAGGCAAACCGAACAGCTTTTGACACATTAATATCAACAGGTGCTCAAGGGGTGAGCTTAGACAACACAACATCAAAGATAATCACACCAAAGCTTTTTTTCTTGCCATTTCCTCTGGTGAAAGGTCCTTGTGAATGGCTCTCAGGATCAGATTTGAAGGTGAATTTCCAGCCTCCTTCAAGGGTGGTTAACGAGGCCTGTGGTGGCAACAGAAGCTGTGGTGACCCTCTCCTGGCATGGATCGTGCCCACACCCTCGCCCGGCTTCCCCCAACTGGAGGCTCCCCAGATGTGCTGGGACTGCAACTCCCCTCACCCACAGGCAGCACTGCAATGCGTCCCGAAGGTGCCCAGCTGGACGAGGCTGCCTGCGCTGCAGAGGCATTTGCGCACGGTGCAAGTCCACAGGGAGACACTTTCCTGACTTGATTTGACTGATGCTTTGTGCTTCCTGCTGATGCCATCCCAAGATCCTTCTAGGGGAAAAGTTGCAAATTAAGTATGATGGCTGAAACAGGCTGCTTGGGAAACCCCCATGAACTGGAAAAGCTCGTGATTTTTTCGGGCTGTGGCTGAGTCACTTTCATGGGTGGGTGGCTGGGCAGGCAACTGATCCTCTGCATGCTTACTCAGAAACAAGCCTCATTCAGTTCAGTAAGACTTACTTTCAAGTAAGACTACATGGGATGGTAGCCTTCACACCTTACTCTCCAAAGTAAATTTCAGAAAAATCCCTTTGCGCAGTGCTACCGGGGAAGGTCTGCTGCTCTGTGTGGTTGGCTTTTTTGTTCAATCAACTGGCCCACCAGGGTGAAAACTTGCAGAGAATGGTTAAACTGTTGAAAATGCTTTAAAAACAATGTGAAGGCACATTTTCCACAGCCTTGTCTGCGGAGGCAAAAACTCAAGAGAGCACAGGGAGTGGCCACTGGTGTGGCTGCTGGGAACCTTGCAGGAAATTAAAGCAGACTGTGGGGAGCAGGGCTGGCGGCCCTTTAGATCGGTTGTGTATTGGGGTGGACATGTACCCAGTCCATGAACTCCAAGAGGCCGCTCCCTTGAACAGTGGCCAGCCCCCTGCCAGGGCTCCTGGCCAAGGATAAACACCTGGCACCCCTTTCCCATCTCCCACGGCTCTTCACTGAAGGGCTGCTAGCTGTGCTGTCACCAGCAAGCAAAGAGCCTTCCTGGAAGCCCAGTCGCCCCCGCCGTTCCCACGCAGGCACGTGCTCCCTGCAGAGTTCCATGCCCATCAGCAGATTTGCCTTCCTGCTTCAGAGTAAGGAGGGGAGGGGAGGCCCCCCCCCCCCCCCCTTCCTACCTCCAGAGCCCTGCATGTGCCTGCGTGCTCTTGCCCCTCAAACCCAGCCTGCCCGCCCGGAGTAGCCCCTTCCCTTGGCACTGCCTTCCTCCCCGCCGGCCCTCCTGCTCAGGACCTGTTCCTCACCATGGCTCCTGAACTGCTGTTCCGTGGGGCCAGCCCACACTGTGGGCCTTTCCCAGGCTCTGCTGTCCCAGTGCCCAGCCGAAGGGACCCTTCCTGTCTCTCACAGAGGCTGAGTTCTGCTGTGGGCGGTGTATCTATCAAGGACTGCTGATGCTCCAGAAAGCAGATGAGGCGGTTTGCATGAGTGCAGCAACCTTTTGTCAGCCTGGGAGGCTTGTTCTTGTGTTGAACAGCTTTTAAAACCAAACTGTGTCCTCTCTTAAACCAGTAGCTTCTTGCCCTGCTTTTGGCTACAAGGGGAATGTATCCTCATCTAGTTGCTTTGTCCATAGATCTTATAACTTCCTGAAAACAATAAGGAGCTGAACTTTACTTAAGCTTCTTTTCTGTGTCTGAGGCAGACAGTCCAAAAGATGCACCATGAAGCTAAACTCCCATAACAGTTCACAAGTAATTAAATCTAACGCATCGGACCCATCTGACTAGCAGAGGGTAGAAATGTCATCGTACAAGAAAGCCCATAGCTCCATGTCACTTTCGCTGGTGGGTTCCAGTCCTGCCCTGGGGGGCGAGCAAGGAGGGGCCTGCGCCATCAGATGCTTGACGGCTGCCTCGTGTCGTGCTGCAGCCCTCCGCAGACCGACCACATCCAGCCTCGCTCTTCTCAGGATGGGGCCTGCTTCGTCCACGTCCTCCTGGCAAGGGGGCACGCAGCTCTGGCTGCAGGGGGGCACGCACAGGCCAAGGTGGGGTGGAGTGGAGTGGAGTGGAGTGAAGCAGAGCCGAGCCTTCCCGTGATCCGGGCGCTCTGTTTCTGGTCATGCCTGCCAGGATTGCCTCTACTTTCTTGGCTGCTGCATCAGACTCCCGGCTCATCTTCAGCTGGTGATCCACTAAAGCGCCTAGACAGATTGCTTTCTTCCATACACGTTTGTCTGAATTTCAAGATTTTGGGGGGAGACTCTCCTCTTGGTGCCTCCACCATTGGAGGAGTATTTGATGGGGAAAATGGTCTTCTTGAGTAGCTGTTCTTGGTCACGGAAATTCCCTGCTAAGGGAAACAAGACTAGCTTCCTCTGTCTTCTGACTCCACCAGCAGTCACACGTATTTTTTCTTCAGGCAGGCTTTTGGCATTTGCTATTTTTGAAGCTGGGTGGTTGGTGATGTTTACTTCATTTTCCACTGTGTTTTTAATTTATATTTGTTTGTGTTCTGTTTTAATTAAGATTTTGTTTTTAATCTATTTTATTGATAACTGCCTTTTGCACTATTTTGGACAGAACGGCAGGTTATTAATCAATATATTCAATCATCATTAATGAAAAACCAGGCCCATGATTTCATCCACACTTCTTGTGCAAGAAGGGCGCAGTTCCGTGCCTCCCTCGGCACAGAGAGCAACTCCATCAGGTCTTGGGAGGACACTGGTCAGCTGCCGGGCAGTTTCGACTGGGTCAAGGACCCTGCGCAATCCCATGCATTTCAATGCTTTTCCAGTGGGGGGCTGCAGCCCTGCCTGGAAAATTGCTCTGATGTTGCAGAGGCCAGCCCTGGATGCAGGCCTTCTCCTTTCGTGCCAACCTCCTTTCCAGCCTCAGCCCATGCCTCAGGAACAGGGAACCTCCAACTCACTGTTCAGATACAGCTGCGGGGAATCATACATCCAGCCTGGCAGTGCCTTCCCCAGTCCCCACGCCCTCTTCCGGCAGGGAAAGCCCAGCTTCAGCCAGCAGCTGATTGGAGAGAAGAGTTTTACCTGCCAGAGGAAGCTGCAGAAAGACTCAACCCTGCCTACATCAAAGGCTCATCTAGCTCACTGCAGAGCCCACTTAAAACCAGCAAGTCAGGTCTTGGTCACACAGTGCCTTTGGCTCCAGCCACAGAGGGATCTCACCCAGCATTCCTCAATGGGGAATCCACGGGCTGCCTGAAAAGCGCTCCCTCCGCCCCGCTGCAGGTCCACTCGGCCCAGCCAAGCACCCACAGCACGACTGCCACCCCGGCCAGGGGGTGTGCTGCCAGGGCAGTCTGCACCTGAGGCAAGGCTGGGCTGCCTACGGCCTGCCCCGGGGGCAGAGGAAGGGGCATTTGCCATGTGTGCCCCCCAGTGGGCTTCCATCGTCTCTGCTCAGTGCAGTGATTTCCGTGCCTCCCTGCCCCCCCCATTTCCACATCTCTCCAGATGCACATGCATCCATCATGTGGCTCACCTTCCCTGCGATCTCCGACGGGGTGGCCCATGCCGGTTCCATTTTGAGTGAGGTGTCAGGTGGTAGATCAGCTGCCGGCAGATCCGATCTGAGGATTTCCAAGGGTCATATTCCTGAAAGCAAGAGACTTGTCGACCACAGACTAGTCTCTGGTTGTTGAGCCCTCCTAGATCATCTTAATCTGCATGCCAACATTCTCCACTTTCAGTGCTTTCAGCAGGCATAGCTACTTCCCGAAATGTCTGCACTTGATAGCCCACCTGGGGAACACCTCTATGGCACCAACTCTAAGTCAGGGCTGAGTAAAACACCCATGGCACAGAATGTGCCCTGCCCCGGAGCGCACGGGAGGCATGTGTCAGCCCTGCACTGTCCAAGCACGGAGGCCAGAGAAGGCATTGGACAGGCAGCAACTCCCCAGGGCATGCCTGGGGGACTTTTCTCAGCCTGGCTGAAGTGTGTGCACATCTCTGGACCTTCTCCATGTACTGCGGAGCTCCATGTGCCCTGGGAGGCCACCCATGTCCTTCCAGCACATGATGCCAGCCCAAGTTAATGGAACTGGAAAGAATCCAGGCCGAGCGCTCAAGAGTGCCTCTCTGGGGACCCCGACATGCCACACCAGGGAAGCTCTGCGGATGACCCGTGCCGTGGGCATTTTCAAGCCGCAGTACGAAGTTCACAAAATTTCTCAGCTAGTAAATGAAATTCACTCAATCTCTTTCTGCCCTCAGGACGGCAGCAGAGTATAAGGCTTGTCCCTCTTCTACGTGGCAGCCCTTCAGGGATTTAATAAGTTAACTCTGCTCTCTTGGAGCGTGGCATAGACGTGTGTGTTTTGCTGCATGTGCAAACCTGCCTACTTGCTCACCAGCCCAAAATGGTCTGCAATAAGCCTCACCTTTTTGGGGCATTGCAGGTCCCTGGCGAGGCTCATCAACAGATCATGAGAGATCGGATCCACAAGGTTCAGGAAGGCCGCATTCTTGTAGAGGACTTCATTGAGGAATGTCCCTTCCAAGCCAAGGTCCTGCAGGGAAAGACCAAATGGTGCCGCCTTAGAACCAGCGCCCGGCCCAGGCCAGACGGAACAGGGAGGCAGCCCCCACCATGGCAACAGACAAGGGGGCGCAGAAACTGGGGCCGCAGTCCAACACTCTCCACTGCCTTTGCAAGGAAGCTTTCAAGCAAACCCCTTGACAAATGGATAAGTGACTGCTTTGCTAAGTGGGGACCAAAATAGCACATTTTTGCATTAAGATAGCCAACAACTCTTCTCTATTTCAACAGGATAAAGGAATATCTGGCCCTATTATTTATTTCATTTCTCTAATACCCAATAGCCAAAGTTCTCTGGAAAATTTCCAGCAACCCTAAAATAGGACCAGAATACAATAAGCTCCAAAAATTACTCCAAGTACAAAATTGTTAGAAAAATTACAACTGATTAATTAAACAATATTTAATTGACAAAACTGTTAAAACCCCTGACCTTGGTGCCCCCATCAAGTCATTAAATGATGTCTTCCAACGCTTCTGCCTAGAGGGTTCTCTTATTTTGGAACGGAATGGGGCAGATCATTCACATCAGGTGGCCACCAATGGGAAGCACCCTCCCCTTAGGGCCACCAGAGCCTTTCTTGGAGGTGGCACTCAGGGGAAAGCCCCTAACACCGATCACTGTCTGAGTCAGTGGTAGCTGGAAGAGGCATTGCATCTGAGACTGTGGTCCCAAGTTGCACAAGGTTTTCTAGGGCAGCATCACTGCCTTGAACTGAGCTCAGAAATGTACAGGCAGCCAGTGCAAGCGAGTTCCAACAGTTACGAGCTGATTGTCTACTTCCGGCTGTCCATTTCCTTGCAACACTTTGTGCAAGATGTAGCTTCCAAACAGTCCACAAGGCAGACCCCCCACACAGAACACATTGCAGTGGTCCAGTTTAGAGATTCCCCTTCATGGATCACTGCCTTGTCGTGGCAAAGGGGTTTGTGTAGCACAATGAAGCTATGCGCTATGCTGTGCAGGGCCCCCCAAGACGGACAGGTCATAGCAGAGAGCGCGGACAAAATACAATCCACTGGAGAAGGAAATGGCAACCCACTCCAGTACCCTTGCCATGAAAACCCCATGGACAGTTCTAAAGGGCAAAACGATTCAGGTCAGAAGGTGTCCAGTGTGCTACTAGGGAAGAGCAGAGGGCTAGTACTAGTAGTGCCAGAAAGAATGAAGCGACTGGGTCAAAGCCGAAAGGACACTCAGTTGCGGATGTATCTGGTGGTGAAAGGAGAGTCTGACGCTGTAAAGATCATGCAGTCTCAGCCCCAGGCAGCAGCTAATACTGATTTTTGCCAGGCCAGAAGGAACCAAAGGCATCGATACAAGATGGGGAATATGTGGCTCAACAGAACTGAA